ATACAAACCCTCAGAACAAATTAAAGTAGAACCTCCTATTGCAATGGTTAAAGATCTATTGGTTGATAATATTGATGGGCATGTTATTTATTTCTCTGATGAAGCTATTAGAATTGCTAAACCTGTTAGAAATGAACGTGATATGTTAGCTAAGAATAAGAAAGTTGTTGGTAATCCTATTATTCTATTAAGATTGGAGATCATTGCTATCATGGTTTATGTGATATGGGTGCTAGTATAAGTGCCATTCATTTCTCTCTCTATCAAGAAGTCATGCATGATGTTTCACCAACTGATATTCATGTTGCTATTAAGCTTGCAAATAGGGATACTATTTTGCTGCTTGGGATTGTTAGAGATGTTGTACTCTTGCGTGGGTAAGACCAAATCCCCTACTAATTTTCTAGTACGAATCACAATAAGATAATTTTTGCCCCATTATATTTGGTAGACCCTTCTTGAATATTGTTAATGCTGAAATTGGTTGTGTTAAAGAGAAGGTTAAAGTTGGTGATGTATCTCATGAATTAAATTTCTCTAAGTTCACTAGATAACCTCATGATAAATATTTACCTAATAAAGACGATATTCTTGGTCTTGCTTCTATTGTCGTGCCTCTTATTGATCCTTTAGAGCAATATTTGTTAGATCATGAATTAATATGAAAAATATGGAATCTTCTTTAGGAAAGCACCCATCCTTAAGCATAATTTTCCACTCGAAATTTTGGGAGATCCTCCTCCAAATAAGGGTGATCCTGTGTTTGAATTAAAGAAACTCCCAGATACATTGAAATATGCTTATCTAGATGAAAAGAAAATATATTATGTTATTATCAATGCTAACCTTCTAGTGCACGAAGAATAGACATTATTGAAAACCTTGAGGAAACATCATGTTGTAATTGGATATACTCTTGATGATCTTAAAGTCACTAGTCCTACTCTATGTCAATACAAAATTAATATGGAGCCCGATGCCAAACCAGTCGTCGATCATCTACCTCAGTTGAATCCTAAGATGAAGGATGTGTTAAGAAAGGAAATACTAAAGCTTCTGGAGGTAGGTATAATTTATCCTATAGCTGATAGTATATGGGTAAGTCTTGCTCATTGTGTCCCTAAGAAAGGTGGCATCACTGCTGTTCCTAATGATAAAAATAAACTTATCCCACAAAGAGTTGTTACATGTTATAGGATGGTAATTGATTTTAGAAAATTGAATAAAGCTACCATTAAAGATCATTATCCTTTGTATTTTATTGATCAATCGTTAGAAATATTATCTTAGGATACACACTTTTGTTTCTTAGATGGATATTTTGCTTTCTCTCAAATACCCATGTCACTAGAAGATCCAGAGAAAATTATTTTTACTTGTTCTTTTGTAACCTATGCTTATAGACGTATGCCTTTTGGTTTATGTAATGCACCTGCTACTTTTCATAGGTGTATGACTGCTATATGCCATGATTTTTGTGAGAAAATTGGTGAGGTCTTCATGGTTGATTGTTCCGTACGTGAAACTTCTTTTGATGACTATATGAGCAATCTTGATAAAGTTTTGCAGACATGTGAAGGGACTAAACTTGTCTTGAATTGAGAGAAATCCCACTTTACAGTGAATGAAGGTATAGTCATTTGTCATAAAATTCCTGAAAGAGGCATTGAAGTAGACAAAGCTAAACTTGATGCAATTGAGAAAATGTCATGTCCTAGAGATGTCAAAGGTATAAGAAACTTCCTCGGTCATGCAGGTTACTATAGGAGGTTCACTAAGGAATCTTTCCGATCTAAATAAGGATATTACAGATACAAATGGTCTAATTGAAATGATGGAAGCAATTCAAAATTTTAAAGCACTCATAACTTTGGAGTATGGCCTAAGGAAAGATGTTAAACTTCACTTGGACAAACTCTTGAAGCAACAAAACACATACTAGTAGCAGAGGGGGAAATTAAATGGGCTACTTTAAGAAGTGAAAATTCTATATTCTTCCATGCTTTAGCTACTGTCTAGCATAGGCACAACTATATATCTTCACTGACTGGATCAGATTGTTTGGAAGTTTCTAATCATGCTGCAAAATCTTCTCTTATGCAATAAGCTTTTAAGGACATGGTAGGCAAATCAGAGCATTACAATATTCTTCCTGAATTGCTTCACCTATTGCGAGTGCATCATGGTATATCCTTCCTGGAAGAACCTTTCTCTACTTAGAAGATAGATGCCACAATTAAGGACTTGCCGTCAAATAAATCTCCAAGCCCACATGGCTCTAATTCCTATTTTGCAAGGAAGCGTTCGCTAATAATCAAGCAAGATTTTGTGATCTTTTTAAACATGTTCTATAGAGGGGAGGTGTGCCTACAAAGTATCAATAATTCTTTCATTTTCCCTGTTCCAAAGAAGCCTGATGCATCCCGTGTTAATGATTACAAAACCATATCCCAACTCCGTTGCACAACCAAATTGCTTACTAAACATCTTGCTAATCCATGTCAATCAATATGGATTCATCAAATCTAGATTTATACTTGATTGTATTGCCTGGGCATATAAATATTTATTCCAATGCCACAAAAGCAAAAATCCCACAATGGTGTTAAAGCTAGATTTTGGGAAAGCCTTTCACAAAATGGAGCACGTCATGATTTTAGGTATCTCGAAGCAAAAATGATTTGCGACCAAATGTTGCTCCTGGATTGAGCAGCTTCTTAACACCGCCACCTCTGTTGTATTGTTAAACGGGGTGCCTGGTAACTCTTTTAAGTGCAGAAGAAGGGTGAGACAAGGAGATCCCCTTTCTCCCCTCCTTTTTGGTCTCACAGCTAAATTTTTATAAACAATTTTAGATAGTGTTATGCATAGAGATATTATTCAACCTCTAGTTAAGTTTAACTCCTGCCCTGATTTCCCCATACTTTAGTATGTTGATGACACCTTAATCATCATGCCAACATGTCTAGGTCAATTCGAGAATTTGCAACATCTAGTCAATATCTACTCCAAGGCATCTGGGTTAAAGGTTAATTACCAGAAATCAAGCATATTACAAGTCAATACCCCAAATGACACCTGCAACATCTATCCAGCATTCCGCGATGCCCCATGGCACTTTTCTATTTATTTATTTAGGTGCTCCACTTAGTTTCACCAAGCCAAGAATGGATTTTTTTAATTTTCATCATTGACAGAATTCAGAAAATGCTAAATGTTTGCTCTCAGTTCTTGAGCTATGATGGCAGATTGCTCATGGTCAATCCAATTTTGTCTTCTCTGCCTACTTTTCTTATGAGTTGTCTACTTCTATACAAAGGCACCATAGAACAGATTGATATATATAGGAGACATCTCTTTTGGAGAGGCAAGGATCTCGAAAAGAAAATGCCTCCTCTCGCAGCTTGGGATCCTCTCCCTCCGTCCTATAACATAAGAGCGTTTTGGACACTAGTGTAGTGTAAAAGATGCTCTTATATTATGGGACAGAGAGTAGTTTGTAGGCCAAAAGACAGAGGTGGATTGGGCATTTTGAATTTGTCCCTACAAAATACATGCCTTCTCTTGAAATGGTGCACAAGTTTATCAATCACATGGATATCCCCAAGATCAACCTGGTTTGGGAAGTGTACTATGGGAAGGGTTTCCACCCAACTACAACATCCACTATATCTTTCTGCAGAGAGATTGCATGAAGCTTTTCCCAAATGATAAAGAACTTGAAACTAGTACACTTCACAATGGCCAGACTTATTTTGGTCTGACAACTGGAATGGGATTCCTTTGATTGGAGTTTGGCCACACGTACATTCCATTGCTATCAGCCCGCATATCACCCTCTTTGATTTATATCAAGCAGAGGATTTAGCAAATGTTTTCCATTTGCCACTGTCTGAAGAGGCATGTGTGCAATTCCAGGAACTTGAACTTCTAATTCAAGATCTAACCCTCACCTCAAAAGTAGACTAGTGGCAATTGTCTAAGGGATCAAATCAATACAAAGTTTCTAGGGTTTATAGGTTGCTTGCCATTGCACCTGAGGTTATGCCAATGATCAAATGGATATGGAAAACTTGCTGCCAACTCAAACACAAGATCTTCTATTGGTTCCTCACAAATGAGAAGTTAAATATTGGATCTCTCCTACAAGGAAGCATGTTTTTATTCACGATTACACTTGTGGAAATCAGAGACCATCTCTTCTTTCATTGCCCCATTGCACACTTGTGCTGGTCCTACATTTGTACAATTTGGGCACCAACTATGCTAGGCATACATGATGAAGTTACACACCTAAAGAACATGTTGAATGTGACTTTCTCACTGGAAATCATCATCTTAGTACATGTTGAACTGTTTAAGACACTACTCTCTGTACTACTGTTTAGTTGCTGTTTCCTTGTTTAAAATCAAAATTGAAGATGCCAACCGATCATGCGCACGCGATGGTAGGTCAGCTGCTCGATCTATGGCTGACCAGACCGAGCGGTGTTGCTCGATCGGTCACACGGTCGCTCACTCCTTTCCGCGTGAGTGACCATGCCATGCGTGCGTACGTGCTATCGGCAGCAACGGCACGTACGTCGATGTCATGCATGCATCCCGTTGGTGCCGTGCACGTCAACCTACTGGCATACTTCCAAATCCAAATCTAGGATGCCAAGCTCCATGCAGCTAGCTAGCTGCGAATTTCAGACCACAAATTGCTACCAGATCGATCCTCCTGATGTTGACTGGAAAGTAGTGGCGGGCTACTGAGCACCCCGCAACGCTCGGAGCCCAAGCCGCGACCCTTTCCGCTATCGATCTTGTGCCACAGCGTCTGTATACGATCCCTTTTAATAGGCATCACCCAGCTAACTCCTAACTAATAATGGCATTGACAGCTCCTGCGGCCTCCCCTATTCCTACGACAGCGCCAGGCCCAACCCTCCACCGACGCCTCCGTCCTCGCTAGGCAGCCCCGTCGCCATTGCCGGCGCGCGCGCGCAGGCGCAGCAATGACCTCCTCCTCCGCCGCCTCCTCCTCCCACCTCCATATTACCATCACCAACGCCTCCTCCACCATCACCACCAACACCAACGCCACCAAATCGCAGTCGCAGTCGCAGCACCACCACTCCAGCAGCGTCTCCCCCCGCAGCGGTGGCTCCGGCGGTGGGGGTGGGGGTGGCACGACCAACCAGGCCTGCGCGGCGTGCAAGTACCAGCGGCGCAAGTGCAACCCCGACTGCCCCCTCGCGCCCTACTTCCCCGCCGACCAGCAGCGCCGGTTCCTCAACGCGCACCGCCTCTTCGGCGTCAGCAACATCCTCAAGACGCTGCGCCGCCTCAAGCCGGAGCTCTGCGACGCGGCCATGCAGACGCTCATTTACCAGGCGGAGATGCGCGCCATGGACCCCGTCGGAGGCTGCTGCAGCATGATCATCGACCTCGAGCACACCAGCGAGCTTCTGTCGGCCGAGCTCGCCGCCCTGCAACAGCACCTCGACATGTGCCGCCAGGCCGCATCTGGCGTGGCCGGCGGGGACGTCATGGACGGCCCGTGCGCTGACCTCGAGGTCACCTCCTCGAACCACCAGCAGGAGCAGCTGCTCCTCCACGCCGACCAAGATCAGGTCGTCGACGCGCTCTACGTCGCCGAAGAAGGCGCCGACCCCGTGATGCAAAATGGCGCCGATCACGACGACAGCCGGCAACCGCAATATCACGGTGGACAGCAGCAGCAACAACAACAGCAGCTGTACGACTATTTCTACTACGAGGCAACCGGCGCCGGCAGCGATGAAGCCGGGAGAAAGCCCAGTGGCAGCGGCGTCGACATTAACGTCGACGTCATGCAGCATTTCGATTACGACTCCAGCTGTGATCGGACTGGAGCCGATGATCAACTGGAGCCGATGATCTCGTCGAGCCTCGAAGAGCACTACCAGATCGGACAGAAGGAGTACGAGATGAAGGTGGCGTCATTCGTCGATGTGTTGGACGTCAGGCCGGAGCTGCAGGCGGTGGACGGGAAAGCCGACATCGGCATCAAGGAGGAGCTTCAGGAGGAGGATCCCAAGAATAACGATGACGACATCGCACTACGCAAAGCAGCACACATGGCTGAGTCGTCACATTGCAGGCTAGGGTTAGGCTTTTAAGTACATCTCTCTAATGCGCCATCAACCCATTCATGTGCCTACGTTTGCTTAACTTGTTTTGATAGAGAGAGGCTGTAGAAATCATATTGTTCTTTTTTTCAAATCCGCCGCGGCTCTATAGTCTATATTAATCAACAACAATATTACAGGAAATGGGCAAAACAAAAAAGAATATATAATCCACTCCTTAGAGAATTGTCCCCTCACGACATGATGTGGTAAGCAATCCAAACTATTAAAATAAATTGTCGACTCCATCCCGTACATCCTCAAGACGGTCGGAGTTGCCTACGCTGGAGTTCCACGCCGTCACTAGAACAATAAAGTTCTACCAATGCAGGTAGTCTTGAAATTACCGTTCTCAGCCGATACCGTTCTCAGCCGATACGTGTCAGCGACATCGATCCCTAGGAATCCACGAGCTGAAGAAGAAGACGATGCCGAGTTTCTCATAGCTAGACGTCTTCCTATGTCTGCAGAATACCGAAATCTGCGCCGATACTGCGGAAACACCACTGGCATATGAATACACAACCAACTACCCCTACGTTGAGCATAGAGGGAGGCCAACTTGTCAAACCCAATCCTGTGATCCTGTCTCTAGATTCGACAACTCGGGTAGTCCTATCAATGTCTATGCGCTGGACATCTCATTGATAGGACTACCTGATCAAGGGCGTGGTACTGCACTTCATTGCCAATCGTACAACAAGATCTTCATTGCCCATTGTGCACAAGGAAGGAGTGGTAGCTCACCTCACAACCCTCTTATCTTAGACCAAAGTGTGTCCAAATGTGCAACGTCGAAGGTTCTCACAATAGTGACTTATGGGGCTTTTCAAATCTCTGGGATTAATCCAGCTCAGACCAATTTTTTTAGGAAAAAGGGGTTCACCACAGATTTTCATTAAGAAAACCATAAAAAGATTCATACAGGTAACAACTATTACCACACACCTCAGACGAATTTTGTATTGCGCAATTTTCTTCAGTAAGTCAGGTGGAATATCAAGATGCAAAAGGTAATTATAGAGATCGATTACAATTTCGAATATCTTTTTGTTGTAACCCGAACACAACAAGCGCCGCCTTGTCGTCTGGGAGATGCCTTCTGTGGGAAAGTATCCGGTACTCCCAGCATTGGGGTTTTCCCTGTGCTCCAAATTAAAAAAAACCATTATTGAATGTAACAAAAAATTCCGGAAAAAGATGTGAATGTCCACAAGCAATTTGACTACAACCTCTACAAATTTCAGGTCCACTCGGAACTTACATTGAGAAACAAAAATGTAAAATCTAGCATGAATAGTGTAAGAAAAAAGACAAAAACAACATTGACACTATTCACATCTGGATTTCACTTTTTTGTTTCTCAATGTGCATTTTGAGTTTGGATCTGACATTTTTAGGAGTTGTAGTCACATTCCTTGTGAACATTCATCTTTTTTCTGATTTTTTTGTTACATTTAAGAATTGTGTTTTGAATTTGAAGCACCAGGAGTACCCCAAGGATGGAAGAAACTGATACTTTCCCTACCTTCTGTTGCACTTCTGCCGATAAAGCTGAGGTTGTGGCCATTAGAGAGGGACTGTTTGATCTAGAGGAAACTCTAGGGGGCCTTTTATGTTTGGAATCTGACTGTGCATCTGTGATCAGACTGGTTGATCTCGACACTCTGAACATGTCTAGCCTGCACCCAATCGTCAGTGACCTCAAGGATTCGCTGAAACAATATGGCCCATGAGCTTGCTTCTGCGGCGATAATGTATGGTAACTTTTCCCTGATTGCGGATATCCATGTTCATTTTAAATCTCTGCTTATGAAAGATTGTAATCAGGTTCCTACGAATTTATAATCCCGTTTCTACCTCAATAAGGCAAAGTTGGATCATTAGTTAAAATTACATGAAACATTGCACTTGTGAATTATAAAAGGAAAAATTGTAGAATGTTTTCGAAAACAACTTCAACTAATTTTGTGCTACTAAATCAATAAGGTAAAATGCAAAAATTAACTTTGTTGTAACTTCCATTTTATGACACATATCGATGCATCCTTTTCAACTTATTCCACCTAGTGAACGGCAAAGTTGGATCATTAGTTAAAATTACATGAAACATTGTACTTGTGAATTATAAAAGGAAAAATTGTAGAATGTTTTCGAAAACAACTTCAACTAATTTTGTGCTACTAAATCAATAAGGTAAAAATGCAAAAATTGACGCCCACCTTGGGGCTCGAACCCAAGACCACAAGGTTAAGAGCCTTGCGCTCTACCAACTGAGCTAGACGGGCAATGGTTGCACCAAGTCCAAATCACTTGGTTCATTTATAACATTTACAGTATTTTTTCCAATATCAACGGCCCAAGCATAAAGTACTGTATGCAGAAGTTTATCATTGAAAGATTTTTGAGCAGACGAACACCGAAAAGTTCCACGAGAAATTAAACATGTCATGGTCACGTTCCAAAGCTCCAAGATCATACATATAGAACTCTAAAAAAGAATGATCAATGTTCAAAACCAAAAAAGAAAACATTTCTTACTGCCATGGCAGAAAACAAAGATCATCACGTTCTCCTCCGGTAGCGTCATGGCCATCCGCGCTCCATCGGTGAGCGCGGACATCGTGCTTGTCACCCGCACGCTGGTGACACGTGTCGAACCCGTCCAGTGGCGCAGACACGGGCGCTTACAACCTGGGCTGGAACGCGTCGCGCACATGGCGTACATGGGGGACGAGAGCGGCGTGAAGTTGAATATGGTGCTCGTGTCCAAGATCGTGTTGCCCCTGCCAGTGGCAGGGTCGAACGACGTGAGTGCCGACGCCGTCATGGCCACGGCCCTGCCGGCCATGTGGATGCCGACCATGTCGATGTAGTACACGGTGGGGCGGCGAGGGTTGTACACGAGAAAACAATCGGTCAAGAGAGACATAGTGGGCATGAAGAGAGTAGCCATGAAGTGTCTACCTAAATTTGCCATTGAAAATCTGGGTTGAAATGGTAAATGTGCAAAAAAATAGACATAACATGACGAAACTTTTAAAAAATTGATCTCTAAATCATGGTAAATTCAAAAATATATTTCACTATAGTAATGTCAACTATCTATATGTACCTGCAAATTCATGAGAAAATTAAAAAATGTGTTCTCTAACACATGGAAAAGATCTATATACACTAGTGCAGAACCGGGCAATAGTACCGGTTCGTAAGGTCTTTTAGTGTCGGTTTGGTAACCGGCGCTAAAGTGTAGGCACTAAAGCCCCCCCCTCTTTAGTACCGGTTCAGCACGAACCGGTGCTAAAGGACAACC